GTGCGATCTCTTCACCCATTCGTTCATTTTCTTATACCACAGAAGGGTTGGGGCCAGTTCAAGCTAACATAGGGTGAAAGGATGGGGGTGTATGGCTTATGACCTGTTCACATTTGGGAACATGTGACATGCTACAATTTAAAAGTTTCATTAATGGTTAACGATACAGAAAATACTCTTGGCCACCAATGCAAAGATGTAAAACTGCAAACTTTACTTTGATTTAATCGTACGTGGGAATTACTGGAAATGGTATACAGCAATCTGACAAGATTCTGGGACGGGAGTGTAGAGCGCAGAGGCCAGTGGTCACTTTGCTCGTCCTCCTCTGACGGTTGATGAACACCCACTTGTGTTCTGCAGAGACACCGAGACATTGGCTTGGTGTTTTTTGGGGGCGGGGTTTGGTCTTTCTAGACGTCTGCCAACTCTAGCTTTAAATATGAACGACAGGATGTGAAACAGAACTGTGCAAAGTGAAGTGAGGCGAAGGTCTCAGTCATGTCTTGTATGGATCATTAAAGGTTGGGGAGCTTCTAAGAATACACAGGAAGCATCGCTGGCTGGATAAGTACAAAGACACAACAACCTATGTATAAAAACTGACTCTCAAGATGCAGTTAGGTAAACACTTGCACTGGAACTAAAATTAACACTTTTTTTGGCCAATGAATGAATAGTTGAGTGAATGAATTCATCACCTGTGGTGCACGATTTAAGCTGTGGCTAAGAATTGTGGGTATTGTAGTACAGAGCTTGTATTTCTGTTATTTGAGGCAAAACAAAATGACAAGGAAAATAAAATAAAAATCATAGTAATGTTCAAATAGTATCCTGATCATGCTTGTAGCATTTTAAAGGCTACTAAAAAAATTAAATAAAATTGCATTAACGTCTAAATCAATGGAACTGAAGCGAGGGCAGAAACAGGCAGCCAGCAAAGCAGCTGTAGCTAAAATGTCTTCTATTGTCTGTGTTCGGTGTGCTTTCGGTGAAGTAAGGAGCAGGACTAGAAGCATGCAGGATTGCAGGAGACGTAGTGGAATGGCAGTGAACTACTGCAGCTCTGCAGTGCAGCATGCACTCAGTGCGTCGGTGTTTCTAAGACCCAGCAAAAGAGGAGAAAATGCTCATGCAGCCTCACGCAAAAATTCAGAATCTGCACCCCAGTAAGAAATGTGATGATTTGCAAAATACTTTCGGGTGTTTTTGCTGATTCAGCTTGAATAAATTATTTTAATTTAGGTTAAATTTTTAGACATTTATAGAAGCAGACCCAAAAGGTTTCCACAGGACATGAAGGGAGGATGCACAAGGATGCTCTCTCACGCAGTGCTGGGCACCTACAGGCTACTACGAGGAAACGCTCAATAACCATGACCCCCACCCACCTTTAGTCACTACTATCAAACCATCATCAAACTCTGTATCAATGATGCGATGAGACCCTGCACACATACAAACGCACACGCAAAACACCCACACACAAGACAGGGTAAGGTTGAGAGATTCTGCCACGCTGAGAGGGACACTGGAGAAGGCTCAGAACAGGAAATGTTAGCCGCCACGCTCAAACACTGTTGGTTAAAGGACACACAGCCTGCAAAGAAATGAA